GCACTTATATGAATTAATTAATAGTAATTTGGACTTTAAATTTAGTTAAAAACCCATAATATAAAAAAATACCAAAAATTTAAAAAATTGATAAATTTGAAGACAATTTTGCGTGTTGTGGCAAATCATGACGTCTAGGAGTTTTTTCAATATTTTATTTGTTTTCAGCACACCAGAATACATGGAAATTAGATTAAAATAATGCCTCTCTAGTTCATGGAACAGCTTTTTAGTCGCAAACCTTTGTTATTAAAGAAGGTTAAATTGAATATAAATAATCGCTATGTTTCAAGGCAATATAAAGGCAGTAAGATTAGGGAGAACTGTTGTAGGAAAGTCACACTTACAGATTGCCCTATTTGGAGATATATTACTGTCATTTGAATATTTAAGTGGGCTAACCCACTTAAACTATTTTGCAATATATACAGGAGAATAGTCTCTTGAAAACTGGACTTTTCACTCCTTGGAACATCATGTATCATTTGACTATCAACTGACTGCATTCATCTTAAATTTTAAAGAAGCAGGAGCAGCTAGATGACCTTGGATGTTCCTAAAACCTGATCTGACTAGTATATGAATAAGGCACACTTGGAAATCTCAAGGTCATGAGACTACACTGACAAGTCAAAAAACATCTTAGAAGAAAGTAATGGAAAACCATGTCCAGATGTTGAGCTTGATTAAAGGCAATCTTAAGTAGATCTACTAAAAGTTCTGAAATTAGTAGATCCCTCCCTACCTGGATAAATCAAAAAGGGTCACCTCTGTATTCTTTGAGAATGAAATAAGCCAATTGCTGGTTTAGAAAAATGCCGCTGCTCCATTTTGTTTTCAGAAATGTTGGTTTGGACTTCTTCCACTTTAAGTTGTAGATCAGCAAGGATATCTCTTCAGAATGAGTTAGTAATCACTCCTGCTAAAAGCAGACAAATGCATATTTTCACTCCAACTAAATGCTAAACAGGTTTAACCAGGCCACCAGTAATAACCCAGGTTACGTTTTGAAGGAACCTGCCAGGATGATGGATTAGCTCGAGAAATAATGTCTTTGCAGGGAAAGTCTTTGAAAATGTATTGCAATTGCTTTAGCAGCTGCCAAAATAGGAAGCATAGATATTTAGTAGAATTATCTAGTAGAGGAGAAGTTGCAGCTGAGGTGGTATTCTGCCAGTTTGCCCCGGTTCAGGCGGACCGGTAATGGCGGTGGCGGGAGGCTCCGCCCATCCATCCAGGTGTCATCAAAGACACTCTCCACATGCGCAGAAGTGCTACATGGAGTGAAGCACTGCACGTGAGCGAAGCGTTGCGCACGAGCAAAGCACCCACATGCATGCTGCCGGTTCCAAACCGGTAGCGAAGATTAGAGTATTTCATGCCTGAGTTGCAGCTCCTAATCCTCATGTCCAAGAGCAGTTATATCATTTAGCATTGAAATTCTTCAGTGCTAAATTCCTCTAATTATCAGAAACTAAATGAGTTAGCGAAGAGAAATTAAATGGAAAAATAGTCAGGATGGTATTGCATATAAGATTAGTGGGTGAATTTTATCTTGGGCTGTCCACACTTTGAAAATGATGTGCAAAAATGGCTTTTTTCTCTTGCACAAACACAGCGTTCACCTCTCTGCTATTCATTAAAACGGCTTGCCTTTCCTCAGGTTTCCATTCACCTACCAAAAAAAGACATCAGAGTTAATGAGATTTCAAAAAGCTGCAACTTTGGATGGGGAAACAAACTGCTGAAAAAAATCAGTCGATTTAATGAACAGCAGAGGAACAGCATAGACTCCTGAAACAAGCCTTCCAGCTCACTTTCAAAACAAGTCCAGCCACTAAGTGGAATTGAAGAAAGGTTGTGATCTCATTATTTTTATATTGTTTTTTCTTCTTTTTAAAAACCCTTTGATGATTAAATGGATTGTATATCTATGCTCTTTTAAGTAGCCAAACTGTTTAAAAAATAACATGCAATTCCCTGTGATAAATCTTCTGTGTCATTTTCCTAGATCTTTTGGGAGCCATATGGGTAGTATCTGGTTTACAGAAGTCCATTTTTTTCCATTTCTCTGCTTTCTCTTTTTGACTCACATTTTGAGTGCGGCTTTGGCATACTAACAAGGAATCTATGCAATCTTTGGCTGCAAAATGTTTGCCCGTTCTGGTCAGGAAAGACATTAGCCATCATCAATTCCCATCGAGGGGTCAGGTAAATCAGGGGTGTCAAACTGGCAGACCAGATGCGTCACATGCAGATTACACCCACGCCAGCTCCATGAAGGAGGAAAATGTCACAATACATCACGTGACAGGATTGTGACATCACACGTTTGACACCTGTGAAGCAGAGATGGGTTCCTACCCCTTCAGTAGTGGTATGGCGGCCTGGGTCATTGGAACCGGCAGCGACCCAGGCCTGCTACACCCCTGAACTGATTCTCCGGTCACTGCCATCACCGCCACCGTCATTTTTTTTAGTTCTGCATATGCACAGAACAATTTTAATTGAACTGCGCATGTGCGCACAATGCACGCACGAGCAAACCAGCAGTAAAGCTGGCTGGAACCCACCCCTGCTGTGAAGTAAATAAATAAATAAAGGTCTCAATTGTTGGAAGAAATATCCATCTGGTTCAGTTCCAAATG